GAAAAGATTTTTGCAAGATGGTATACCAGATACCAAGTTGTATAATTATGGTTTATCATTCTTAGATACATAGCTTTTTTTTCAACATCTTATAAATTATAAATTAGAATGGGACTTAAAATGAAAGGCAGCTTAGTATAGTGTAACATATATAGCACCTTTTCTGACTTAGATGTGAAATGATGGTGTATATTAGAGATGATATTGTCCAGATCAGGATGAAACAGTTTCACAGTAATATCCAAAGATGGATACCCTCCAGTAAAAAGAAAAAAAAGACTTAATGTGGAGCTTCATTTTATGACCCAGTGCCTGACCAGGAAGGGTGCAGATGCTAAGTATCCCATGAAAATCTTCTCTTTGGAGAGCTGGTGAGTGGCCTGTGTAAGGTATTGTTAATGTCAGAAATTATCTGTTGTTTTGCTTTGCTGCTTCTCTTTTTATTGTTCTAATTCAGGTCTCTGACATTAAAAAAAATAGGTATCATGCATATGTTTTGATGCTGGGCATAACCTTAATGTGAATAGCTGCCAAAGAGCTAAATGGTTACCTGAAGACAGAGTACCAAATGAAGGCAAACTTCCCTGCTTTGTAGTTAGGCCCTGTTGCTTATTGAAATAATTGTGCACATTTTAATAGAATTTGGTGTTGATTTAGCAAAGTGTAAAGGGATTCAGCCTTGCGTTTCTCCATAAGATGATAGGCAATTATATTTTGAACTTCTGAGAATTTACACTGTAATGGTTTTAAGTCCTAATTATCTTCATTTGATAAGGCAAAGCTGTATACTTTTCTGGTATAAAATTATATGAGTTATATATTTTTCTTCTTCCTTTTTTTTGGTTGTCAATGGAAACAAATTATTGTTCATAAATAATAAAATTTAGGGCACTTATTCTAAGAACTTGAAGTTTCAGTGGCTCATGTAATTATAATGCTTTTTCTCAGTACTGTGAATAATCGGGAACATTTAACTTCATAATTTTATGGATTCTTTAAGCTGAAACATATTTTGGTTTATGAAGTGTCAAGCCACAACTAATAAAGTAAAATTTTTAAAAAGACAAAAGAAAACCTTACTAACATAAAAGAAACAGATTGACTGAGTTTACATGGGGAAAAACAATAATCATTTATAAACTTTAAAAATTTAAGGGTAAACATATAGTTCTATATTTTTTAAATGATTTTCTTTTCTGTCCTGGACTATGATTATTGAGCAAGTCTAGATGACATAAAAATGAAAATGCCTTAGTGATTTTTAGCAATTCTACTGAATGAAATTTTCCATGGATACATTTTCTTCAAAGACCAAACCAGAACAGAACAAAACAAAAGCCCTCCCAAATCTTGTCTTTTTGGAAATAATATTGGTAATTACAAAAGTCATCTGAACAAAGAGAAGAGCTTCATGTGTTGAGAGGAATCATGCCAGTTCTCATCTTCTTAAATCATAATGTTATCATAGCCACCTTAAAGCCTTTAATTTTGTCCGAGGCCTTCACAGTATAATTTATTTGATTTCTAATAAAAATATATTCATATACATGGATATGTGTGTGCTTGTGTGTATAATGCAGGTTCTGATTCTCTTTCATTAACATACCAAATAAATTTTTTGAAGCCAGCATATTAACCATTTATATAAAATGCTCAGAATATAACCACATTTAAAAGAATATATTCTTTTTACATAGTTTTACTTAATTTATTTGTTATTCTTGCTCATCATTTGCTACTGAGGGAAAAAATATGAAAACTGTTCAAGGATAACTATTTGATTATTTGTTCTTATTAGTTTTACTGTTGATTAATTTAACCAACTTTTTGTTTCTTCATTTGTTTTTTAATGCCTTTTCTAGTCAAGATTTGATTTGAAATCTTATTTGGGGTAGGAGACTGGAGCTTGGCTAGGGTCCAAAGGTGGATCAGGAATATTTCTCCTTTTTCAAAAAATTTGTAGCAAGTGCTAATAATTTAAGATATAATGAGATGCAGGAGAAAAAAGTGTCATTGGCATTCAGAGGCCCAGAATACTTTGGAAGGTTGAGACAGACTAAGCCAGTCTGAAAACACAAAGGAAGCAAAGACCCAGAGCCAAGAATGTGAAGTGCATTCAGGAAGGAGGAAGGGTTAATTTGGCTCAAGTATATAAACTGTAAAGAGGAAGAGCAATCTAGGCAAGAGGCTGGAGACATAGGTAATCTACATACTGCACAGTGTAATAGAAGCCAACATAAAGATTTTGGGATGTCATCAAGGGGTACTTGAGAATCCCCTGAAGATTTCTTAGATGTTTCTTAGTTGTCCCAGGACAACTAACAGGAAGGTAGTGTGTAACATGGATAGGAATAGAGGTAAGTATGTGAGAGGATATAGTGGAGGCTGAGCTCATTAGAGGCTGGTTAGGATAACAGCAGTGGGAAGACTGAGGAAAGAATAGATGGAAGAAGCATTGTGCTGGTAGACCCAACAGTAAAGAAAGGAAAGGCAAAAATGAAGATGACATTACAAGTCTAGGCTAGGAGTGCAAATTCCACAAAGTAAAGTAAGAAATGCAAGAAAATTTGGCGTTCAAGATGAATTTATATCATGTGAAGCCTGGGGTGCTTGCCAATCGGAAATGTCCAGAACCTTCACAAATGGCAAGTTGAGGTTTATGTAAAGTACATGGAATGTTGAAGATGGTCACAAACCAGAGTTTATAATAATGCAAAGATGACAAAGTATACATGTATCCATTTATATTGAATTCTGGAAAGTAAAATAATAGAGGTAAGAGTTCTCTGGGATTTCAGAGAAAGGAAACACTGTTTTTTTGTTTGTTTTTTTTTAAAGAGAGAGTGTGAGAGAGAGAGAGAGAGAGAGAGAGAGAGAGAGAGAGAGATTGAGATTTTTAATATTTATTTTTTTTAGTTTTCGGCGGACACAACATCTTTGTTGGTATGTGGTGCTGAGGATCCAACCCGGGCCGCACGCATGCCAGGCGAGCACGCTACCGCTCGAGCCACATCCCCAGCCCAAACACTAGTTTTTTTAGACAGAGTTAGGGATTTGGTGGTCTGGTGATGGAAAAGATGTGACAGAGTTGAGCTGAGAGAAGAAAGAATATCATAAAAGGATGGTATTCCAGGTGGCTGAAAATATACCAGCAAAATCAATAGAATAGAAAAATTACATCTCACTTGTAAGGGAATCAGGAAGATACCAATGAGTTCTGGACTTTGTATATATGTGGAGGACTGAAGAGAGCATAGGTAGAAATGAAGGAACCTGTTTCTGACTAGAACAAAATGGCCACAAAATAATCAGCCAAATTGTTTCATTTAAGTCAAACCAGCTAGTGTTTAAGACTAAGTAATTAGTTAAACTAACTGTTCATTGACACATGTGTTTCAATGAGTATCTCAAAATACATTGTGAACATAACCTGATAACCTTAGTTTCTTCAAATTACTACATAAAATCTGAGAACTCAATAATTTTGAGAGTTAGAGATTATTTAGTACAATATTCTGCCGGATGTTTCAACTGTGAATATAGTGTCTCAGAGCCTGTGTATTTTTGTTTTGTTTTGTTTTTTAAGTTAAAAGTTGTATCTTGTGTCAAGGACTTCAAATGTTAGGTTTTAATGTCAATGCTAATATAATTATTTCAGAACTGCAGGGAATAGCTGTATTTGACTTTTATTAACTTGTTAATATTAAAAATAATTTCATTCTTTGTATAAAACATCATCTTTAAAATGACTAAATGAAGTCAGCCTTCTACTCAAGTCAATTCCACCCTTCCTGATGGAATTTTATGAATATAATTTAAAAAGTGAACACTGATGATATAATCTATGAATGCAGCACCAATAATTCTCACAGGAGATACTCTCAGTTGCATGTGCATCAAATTTTAGTACATAAATCAAGGCAGCAATATTATTTGTAAATAACTCCATGATTCCAAAAAAACCCTTCTTTTTCTCTTTCACTCAAGATTTAATTAAATCCAAAACCAAAACAAGCAGACAAAACAAACAAACAACAACAAAACAAACAAAAAATCCAAAAAAAAAAAAAAAAAGAGCAAACAAAAACCAAAGATGTATTTAAAAAGTGAAACGCAAACAAAACTCCCAAATGAAGAAAACAATACCTGATCTGGGAGTTTTGCCAATCCTTTATTTTAATCAACTTTTTACAGAGATAATAGGAAGAATATTGAGCTGGAAATGCAGAAATCAACTCAACATTCTTGGCACGAATACATTTTAGACTATAGCACAAAAAAGAGTTAATCTGAAATGCCAACTGAGGTTGCATTAAATATGCTATTATTTTGCCATTCAACAAGCTTTGTTTCATTGGCAAAGGCAACACTAAAACTGGTTGAATACTTAAACACTATTATGGAAATAAATGCTGTTGCTCTAAAAGTCTTCCATGGCAAGAAAAAAAAAAATGCTGTAAATTTCTTATTTTCCTATCCAGAACAATTTTCTATCTGCCTTATATTTTCTGGCAATGATTCCACAAAATTAAATACGGTTCTCCCTCTTCTAATAGCAAACCCCCAAACAAACCTTAAACTATGTCTTCTTTGCATGTTACAGTTAATGTGCTTTCATTATACTTAATGTACTTTTAATAGTCTCCTATGGCAAGATGTTGATATTAAATGTGGGAATAAAATATCCGTGATACTACCTTGAATTTGCTGTAATGCCTTTTATCTGAGGGCTCAAAGCACTCCACACACATTCTCATTCAGTATCTCCTTGAGGTGTAATATGTGCACTTTATGGTTGAGGACTCTGAGGTGCAGAATGAGGAAAGGTATTGAGGTCATTTCCAGAGTTCACACTAAGTGCAGCCTGGATATTTCCCTGCAGGGGTGAGCATTCTCTCCCTGCAGTGCAGGCTACTACCAGGTGGCTACACTGGCTTCTGGGTGCTAAAAATTGATTGCATCTTATCTGATCCTTTCCTTCATGGGATTGTTTCTCTTACCTGGACACCATCAGATGCAGGGATGTAACTTGCCCTTTTAAATGTGTCTGTAACATTTCTGAGGATTTCCACAGACATCAGAAGGTCTCCTGCATAAAAATTTTTCCTCTGAGTTAAATCCAACAGTGTCTTCGTTACCTGGGACATTCCATCACCTGCCAGAGTTCGCTGCCCCTTAGCCAGATGCTCTTTAATCTGTGATGGTCAAAAGAACACAATCAACATCAGAATCTTCATTACTGTTTCTCTACAAATCTTTATTAAATAGCTATATTAAAAATTCACTGATCAAGTTTAAAATAACTTTGCAATACTTGGAAAGATACAAAAACCTTAAATTGTGTGTATCCCACATTCTGATAAGCATCCAGCACGAAAAAAAAAAAAGAGTATATACTTCTTGTCAAACCTAATAGACTTCCCATTTCTAGTTAAAAAATGCAATTTAATACCATTGGGAAAAATATGTATAAATTTAGGTTTTTGATTAGAGAAAAAAGTTAAACAATATACTTGCATGCATTAAACATGAGAGATTGTTTAGGGAGGTGTGACCAGAGATGGAGATTATAAATGCTTCAAAATTACCAGTTTTTGTAATCAATTTTAATAACTTTTGCCTTAAACACATCTTTATGTAGTGGCAAAGAGTTGTTGCAACACAATTTTAGCTTAAGAAAATGTCTCTAAATTTTAGAGGTTTACTATGACATGATTGAAAGTTAGATTGCTTTAGTTTTATTCATTTATTGATTTTTTTTTTAAACAACAACGGGGAAAAAAGAATAAGAAACTCTCATCTGGGTTCTCAGCAGTAGAAGGAACCATTAAGATGCAAAGCTTCAATTACTTTGATGGCTAGAAAAATGGCTGTCGATTCTCATGTTTGCCTATCTTACAGCTCAAGAAAAGAATCTTGCAGCACATAAGAATGAAAAGGTTAGAAAGGTGAAAGAAATAACAAGGATCTGTTATACTTGTTAAATAAAGGTTAACCTCTATCTCACATTGCTAACTTTTTTATGAAATTAGCTTAAAAATCATGAAATAAGCAAGAATAAACACATCAGAGAAATACTAAAAAAAAAAAGGTTAAAGTATAATACATGTCATCATAACTATGTTTCAGTTTCTCATTAAGACACATGCCAACAAGTCATGGTAATCAATCTACACTAAATAAAAAGGTAGAAATTTCCTAAGAGTTACATTTTTAAAAAGTATTATCTTGATACTTTGGGTTTTTTAAAATTAACCTTGAAAATTCCCTAATAATATTTCAGTAAAATAAAAATCTTCATAGACCAGCATGGTGGTGCACATCTGTAATCCAAGAAGCTTAGGAGGCTGCAGCAGGAAGATTGAAAGTTCAAAACCAGCCTCAGCAATTTAGTAAGGCCCTAAGCAACTTAGCGAGCTCCGGTCTCAAAATAAAATATAAAACCAGCTGTGGACGTGGCTCAGTGGTTAACTGCCTCAATCCCCAGTACAAAAAAAAAAATTCAGACACATTTTATATTTGTCGTGATATGCTAAAAACTAGAATGTATTTAGACAGTTTATTTTTCCCATTTTCTTCTTTAATTTTTTTTCTATCTCCCTTCAGTGGGAGAGAACATCCACAAGTAGAGGCCCCCATGAATGGCATAGCATTAGTGATCTACACCCTCTCTTCAGACTCAAGGCCAATAGCTGTAGAATGACATTAACATATTTAATCATGATATAGACCCAGCATTCATCAATCAGGACACTGGCTGTCACAGAAGAATGTGGCACAATGATATGTACAAGTAGCCTGAACTCCAGCTCCACTTCTGAACTGTTGATAACTATTTTCACTTTTCTGTTCAGGTCATGTATTACATGGCTTCATGTTTGCACTAGAAGTTCTACCTTTCTCCCTTTCATTATCTCCTGTTTAAAAGCCATTGAGTTTTAGTCTCGTTTTTGTCACTATCTTAGCAAAGTTAATAAATTGCTTCTCTCTGTTATCTCTTACCTTGTACACGTATGACCCTTATCACAGTGAACAATAATCATTTAACAATAGATCTTTCAGTCCCTACAGTCTTCCTATACTATGAGAGTAGGCTCACTGTCTTATTCACAGCCTTATCATAGAACATAGAAACATATCATGGAAGATAGTAAGAAGTAGTTAGGTTGAATTCAGTTTTTACGTGCTAACTGTACTTTTGTGGTGAAATGGAATGAGCTTTAGAACCAAGGGTTCCTGGGTTTGTATTTTAACTCAACAGCTTATTACTTATGTAATTGAATGCCTTGGAGACTCAGTTTACCATGTTTTCTGTAAGATTTGAAGAATACACCTATTTAATGAAATGTTTTAATATTTTCTTCATTTAAATGAACCCACACAGTTGAAGATGATTAGCAAGAGCTGCTGCACACAGGAACGCTTTTGGCCTCACCATGGTTTGAGTGCCTTACACGATCTACCCTGGAGACTTCTAGCACGTTGCACCTATCCCCTGCACTCTAGTCATTATGGTTTTGTTGCTTTTTCTCCATCATAAAAAGTACATGCCTGTTTCAGGACTTTTGCATTTGCTTTTCCTTTTTCATGTGGAATAGATGTCCATGGATATTCACATCCTTTCTGTCACTTTCTCAAACAAATCTTTTTTTTTTAATATTTTTAGTTGAAGATTTGGACACAATGCTTTTATTTATTTTTATGTGATGCTGAGGATCAAACCCAGTGCCTCACATGTGCGAGGCAAGCACTCTACCACTAAGCTAATACCTCAGACCCCTCAAAAGAATCTTACCTCAGTAAATATCTTAAATGGTATCCTTGTCACTTTCAATCACCTTATCCTACTTCATTGTGCTCAACCTGACCGGCTATATTTGTCCATTTTGTTTATTACATTCCCAGCATTGAGAAGACTTCCTCAATATGTTTAATGAATGAATTGAAGGGATAGAAGAGTCAGCTGTCTTCTATGCAGTTGAGTAAGTTAGGTACACTTGGAAGTTGTCCTACCTCACTCCTGGAATACATAGCAAACGTTGGTACCAATAACAGGAGATAAATAAACTACCTTACTGAGAGAGAAAATGTAGCCTCTAGACTGGAAAGTATGTGGTTCAGTAGACAGTTGTGGTTTGGAAGAAAATTCAGAAGAGAAATGAAGTCAACAGGGTCTAACTTGTAAAGTGTCATAAATTCAGTCTTCAGTTTTGCACTGGTGGTGTAAATCACAGCTGTGATGCTCAGAGCAGCAGAGGACTTAAACTGTTCCCCATGACTGCCAAGGTAAATAATGCCTGACTGCCTCAAATCAGCCTTTATTATTTTGTCAACCTACACTCATGCCTGTGAGAGATCTAACTTGTACAGATTTAATGTACGCTCCCCTCTAACAAAAGCATCACAATATTGATTTGATGCTTGAAGAACAAAACACTGAGTGAGACATGTTTTCTGTTTGCAGTAAGAATAGTTATAGAAGGCACTAAATGGATCAACTCATCAGAGATAGGAAGCCAGTTTATCATCTGGGTCAGCATCGAATCCAGCACAAATCAGTAATAAATCAGCGTCATTGCCGACTGACAGCTGCATAGCAGGCTTATGTGGTATAAGTTGTTCTCAATCCAGCTCTTAGCAAACAGGTGCTCAGATCCCAATACCAGCTCTCACAATTGGCACTAATTAGCATCCTTTTTGGCATTGTTAGTGAAAAGTACCCAGGAAAAATTCCTTGTAGTATTTTTACACACTAGAGCAAACTATTCATAGCATTCATCCAGGGTATAAAGAATGTTTGGATATGACAATTTCCAGCTAGAAGATATTCAGTTGAAAGACAGTTAGTTCCAGTTTTTGATCTTTCTTCCACAATACAAACATATTGCAGAAAGTTCTTACCTCCTGCCTATGCTTTTATTTCCTTTTTCTAGAATGATAAATCCAAGTTTACCTGCTAGATATTTTTTTTTCTGGATTATGAAAAAGTTGGGTACAGATACCGTTTCTCTATTTCAACCCATCTTCTCTCTGCTTTCCATCTCTCCTCCTTTATGTTTGTCTGTATATTTTAACTCTTTGGTTATCTCCATGATTTTCTTAATCCTATCCAAACTCTTCTTCCTTCTCTCTCTCTCTCTCAAAAATAGGCCTGATTTTATGTATCTTCTTTAATACCAACTTCTCATATTGTTACTTCATCTACTGTCTTCCCACTCGTTCTCTTCAAAAGGCACCTAAAACCTAGCAGTCCACACTATTCACCACTTCCCAAAGAAACCCCATGGATCTTGTCTTTGCTCCCTGACTCATTCTCTTCTATAATTTTAAACATTGTCCCCAAATCCTCTTGTTCAACTATTATCTTTCCTTCTCCTTCATGAATTCTATTCAGAAAACTGGCACTTTATCAACTCTATTTTCAAGCCTTATAGAAGTAATCTTGCTGTGACTTCTATTGTTATATTGCTGGTGTTCTTATTCATTCTACTAAACCATAATCTCCTAAAGGGGCTGTCTTTTCATATTCATCTTTGGTTTAATGTAATCTCTAGTACATTGTCTACCACATGCATGAACAGGTTCAAAGTGTTTTCTAAATGAATTGAAACTGAAGATTTTCTTTTTCTTTCTCCAATTGCAATACTTTTTTTTTTCCAAATGTTTATTTATTTTTTTTTATTTTTTTATTTTTTTATTTTTTTTATTTTTTTATTGTTGGTCGTTCAAAACATTACACAGTTCTTAATACATCATCTTTCACAGTTTGATTCAAGTGGGTTATGAACTCCCAACTTTACCCCGTATACAGATTGCTGTTTCACATCAGTTACCCTT